TTTTTAAGTAGTCTGCCATAGTTGCCATAGTTGTCATAGTAAGTTATATATAAGAAAAAATGTAGAAAAAAAAATAAGTGGAAAAATACCGTGGCAGACCATGGTACTGTGGCAGGTAAACCTGCCCCACGGAGGGGGGATGTAGGTACTGCGAGGCCGTTGAGGCCGAGGTGGAGGAACGTAGTGACTACACTACCAGCCCGACGACTCTGAATACATAATCTGGCTACTACACTATAATCTACCCCTTTTATTTTGATGCTATCTCTATTCACATTCTAGCTATATTTTTATACCTTTCTTGATATCTGTATTTTTCTCTTATGTATGATTTTATTATCACGTTATAATCTAAATACCCCACACTTTAACCTAGGTACCTCTTTTTTCTTCCTGTTTCTACTCTATTTGTAATTTAAGTTATATATTGTTGATACTGACCTTTCACGTCTGATTGAATGTCAAATTCTATATTGAAGTACTTACCCTTTGTGCCTATTTGGTTGCCTTTCTAGATGCTGAAATGTGGTAAAAAAATATGGTGTCGAGTGGCGCAGTATTTCGATGTAAATCTGCGATTAATTTTGGCTGGACACTATGTCATAATTCCAGCCGATCTTTTGGGCATGTGATTTGAGGATCCAGCCTGGCGCCATGGTAGTGACCTGATAGAGACCTGGTAGCTACCGTAGAACTGTCATGGAACTGGCAAAGAACTAGAGTGGTTCTATTAGTTTGCCAGTTCCAGTTCACTTTTATGCCAGCTTGGATGCCGAAATATTACCTAAAGTTCTGGCTGAAATTATGAAATAGTGCTGGCCAAAATTAATCAAAATTTACTACACATCATTTTTTTTTTCTAAAATGGATGTAGCGAGTAGATAAGTATATTGTTAGGAGTGTCATATGATAGTAGTCCCAGAGGGCTCAGTGACAGGTGATTCTTTACGCATATATTGTTAATTTATTGCGCCTAAAGTTTTTGTGATACTCTACGCATATATTGTTAGAAGAATCATATGATAGTAATGCCAAAGGGCTCTGTGTCAAGTGATACTCTATACACATATTGTTAGGAGAATTATATGATAGTGATCTCAGAGGGCTCGGCGTCAGATGACATCCAGCACAGTATCAATTCAGGGATATTCTATTAGTTCACCCACCATGAATGCCAAATTATTGTATCCAAAAATCTTGCTGAAATTATTGTTAACTTACTGCGCCTAAATTTTTGATATCACGTGGCCAGGCTTTAGTCTTCCCTTTTCGCAACTTTTAAGGGATATTTGAGAAATATTTGAGTGGCATTTGGGGTTTGGGCTAGTGGATCATTTGGTTAGAGAATTGGAGGTGCCAACTTCGTATCTCTTTTTGGTATACCTTTATATTACGTGAAGGCTATATCATACCCGAGTACTTATCTAAAAATGAAGCCTTCTGCCATTTTTATATAATATAATTCCGCAAAAGGCTTCATTTTTACAGATATATCTGGATGTCTTTCTTTTACATTTCTCCTACTAAGTTCGCTATCATTTCTTTTTGTATTTATCGAAAAAAAATAATTAAACATTTCCGAATTTTATAAAGTAATATAAACATTTTCAAACTAACAACATGCATACACCAACTAATTTTGACCAAACTGATCACACCGGAACTCTCACCCGCTACGACAGCGCCAGCCCTTTAGCTGGTATCCCATCACGTAATGATATTGTGGCAGAATTCGATAATGGGATGACCACTATACTTCAACAAAGCCTATCCGGCAAGCAACCCATACATTTCATGCCTACTGAAGTTAGTGATGATATCGAGGGGTATTCCTCCTATATCTTGCATATCACTGGTTCTTTGATTAATAGGCAAAAGGTGGTCGTGAATATCACAGCATCCGACCATTCTTCGATGTTGAAGTACCTGAAAACTATTCCCCCTCTTCACTTAAGACCATATTAGCACGCATTTTATCAGTTACACTCAAAAATACAACAAAATTTGGGGTTGAGGATATTCGTGCTTTTCCACTTCAGGGTTATTATACAGAAAAGAAAGCATATATCCGTATAAGAACGTGGAACTACTTTGATCGGTATAATGCCCTAAAAGCAGTTCGTGAAGTCGGCATTCGTACAGTCTCAGATGATCTAAACTGCCAGTATTATTACTGCAAAGTAGCTCGTGAAGAACGATTACCTCTTTCAAGCTGGGCCGTATTAAGCAATTATTTATACGAATTCATCCCAGATGGTACTTACCTATTTCGACTATCTGTGGATAATTATAATCCAATAATATAAGTGAGGACAATTATAATAATCCATTATTCTCCTCAACACTTACGAGGGATCGAACCCTCATACTCACATGGGATATTGAGACATATAGTTCACGAAAAACAGGCGAGGTGCCTAACGCAAAATATGATGAAGACAGAGTGTTTATGATTTGTATGACAGTGCATTGGAAAGATGATCCCGAACCGTTAAAACAAATCTGTCTTGTCGATGTTGAAACAGCACCAGAGCCAAGCTGAATCACAATTGTATGTGGATCCCAGACAGATTTACTAAAAGCATTCGCTTTATGTTGGAAACTTCTAGCACCAGATATACACATAGGATTTAAAGATTCTCAATACGATTGGAGGTTTATTGTAGAGAAAGCTAATAAATTAGGAGTTCTCGAATGGATGTTCAATCATATGTCATTCAAGCCATCGAGCCTGGAAAAAATTATAAAATGGGAATATCGATATAATATGATAAAAGTAAATGATAGAAAATTCCATTCGAAAAATCTTAAAATTCCGGGATGTGTAGCTATTGACGTCCGACCCTGTTTTATGGGAATTTATTCTAAGGCTGAAAAGAGTAGTTTAGCATTTTACCTAAATGAATGTGAGCTCGAAAGTAAAATGGATATGCCTATTCACCGCATGAACAAATATTATGAAAGGGCATTAAAAAAGCCAGATTACATGTAGGCCGAACAAATGCGCGAAGTGGCCAAATATTGTATTATCGACGCTCTTAGTTGCCAGCGGTTAATGGTAAAGCATAATGCAATTAATGAGTATAGAGAGGTGGCATCCATAGCCTTCTTATTATTATTTGATGCACATTATTTTGCGGGAGGTATGAAGGTTTGCAATTTTTTAAGTGCTAGCGCATGGCAAAGAGGGATCCTAACCAGTATGATTTCAAGCCAACAAACAGAAACTGGAAAATACCCTGGAGCCTATGTTTTCCCACCAGTAAAGGGTCTCGAAAATAGACGTCCTGTAACTGGTTTAGATTTCGCATCGTTATATCCGAATCTTATCATAATATATAACCTCTCACCCGACAAAATCATTTTATCTCAAGAGCATGCCATATCTGTAGAACAAAGCGACAAAAAGCTTCATAAGATAGAGTTTCTATTTAATAACAACCCCTAACGTGCCTGGTCAGTTCAGCATAACAATATTTCTGAAGAAAAAGGACTCTATACTAGCGTATTGGAATATTTATCAGGTAAACGAAATGAGATGAAGAAGCGTCTTGCACCTTTGAAAGAGAAAAAGGAAGACATGGATTTGGTAATAAGTTCAATGGGTAAAAGTTTGTCATTATCAGAAGCCATCGAGCAGATCTTAGCGAATGCAGAGGTAGAAAAACGTAACGGTCTTACTAAGAATTTATATCATTTTATTCATAAAGAAAAGCATGAATTCATAGCAGAATATGATTCTATTTGTTTCGACTGTTCTTGTTTGAATAAGAAACAATATGCTTTCAAGATATATATGAATTCATTCTATGGTACGGCTGGAGATAGTAAATCCCCCTTCTTCTTGCGTGAACTTGCTGGGGGTGTTACTTCAGCTGGATAGAGAAATATCAAACTCGTTGCAGATTTCGTTAAGAGAAAGGGATTTGAGATAAAATATGGTGATACGAATTCCTTGTATTTAGTCTGTCCAGAAGAACGCTTCCAGAGGTGTGATGAGGCTTATGATAGTGGCAACGGGATCTCAAAAGAAGAATATTGGTCTCGAATGGTAGAAATCTCTATGGTGAAAATGGAAAAACTTCGTGATGAAGTTAATGACTTTCTCAAGGAAGATAACGGATCCCCTTATCTTAAAATGGCATATGAGGAAGTCTTATTTCCGGTAGTATTTACTGGAAAAAAAAAATACTATGGTATCCCGCATGAAAGCAAGCCGAACTTTAATAAAAAGCTTTTCATTCAGGGAGTTGAGGTTGTAAAGTGGGGGCAGTCTAAACACTTTCGTGGGATGGGTAAGAAGGTCATGGAAGAATCTATGAGACTGGATAATACTCGCACCTTGCATCAGATTGTGGAGAACGTGCTTAAAGAAACCATAAATGATATTCACAGATAGATCTTAATGGGGTGATTAAAACTGCTGTATGGAAGCCTGATAAGAATAACAAGAGTGTCCAGCATTTTATTTCACAAATGCGAGACAGACATACTCGTGAAGAAGCAGATGCCAAACGGCTCATAAAAAGAGGGCTAACATCTGAGCCTTATCTTTATGAAATCCTAGAACCGGGTGAGCGTTTTGAGTATGTTGTAGTTGAGAATGATTCATCAGATAAGGTCGGAAATAAAATGGAGTATCCAGAAGTAGTGAGGCGATTAGGTAAAAAGATCAATATCAGCTATTATCTGAAAACCGTCGTCAGCCTTTGTGCACGATTTATTAACTATGATGAAAGTTTCCAGCCATCATCTGAAATTGTGCTGGAGGCCTTAAAAAAGTTGAAAGATGCTAATAAAGCGGGTGATAATAAAGCGGATGACGGTGGGGTGGATGGAAATGACCTGGATGAAGACGAAGAAGATGAAGACAAAATGGATGAAGATGAGGTATCAAAAATAAGAGATGCCTTAGCGCAGAAATCGGCTGAAAAGTGGATTAAGGGGTATATCAAAAGCCTACGTGATGGTCCGAAAAAAGATAAAACCATCATATCTCATTTATGGGAAGGGGCACGCATTTACGTGAAAAAAATATTTGATACTACTTATGCCGACAAGGGAGAACACCTAACTAACAATGCTTATTACCAATCATTCCTCAATGCGCTAGATAAGCAAGAAGAATCCATCCGCTTAAAACTTTCATCATTGCTTAAAGAAATTTCAAAGGTTGATATAGAGTATAGAGACAGTATGTATAAATTAGTTACTAAGAAGCGAGCAATGTCCTTAGAACAATATTTAATATCATATTATTTGGATGAGTGTAAGCTACTAGCAGATTTCTGAAACACATGGTACAAAGTAGTTGGCCTAGAAATTATACGCTATCGAACATTATCGAAGTTACAGGATGACAAAAAAGATGATTCGTCCAAAGCGGATATAGACGAGATCATCGAATTATATGGATAAATACTCTTAGCGGTGTTAACTGATTCAGTACGTTGAATAGATTAACTATGATTTGCAGTCAGGGAGATTAAGTACGTTTAACTATGACTGAAATCCAATCAAACAAGACACGCTTAAAATAGGGAGTTCGTTTATAGTGTAAAAGGTTATACTTTATTATAGAACTTTATAATTACAAGAATAAGAACTAATAGGAACTAAGGTTAACTAATTCGAACTGAAGGAACTTAACTTATAACGAGGGAAAATACCAACGTTATTTATATAAAAGTTACTACATATAAAGATATAATAAATATAATAGATATAACTAATGTAATAAATATAACTAATATAATAAATATAATAAATAAATTAAATATAATAAATAAAATAATTATATCGATTATATTAAATATAATTAATATAATAAATATAATAGAAATAATAGGCTAAGGAGGCTGCGGCTAGGTCGGCTTGGCACAGTTGAGAACAGTAGATCCTAATTTTCCACATGATCTTCTGGCGCAGTAAGTTGTAACTCTACACGTGACTAGGGGTAACAGCGGGATGTGGCAATTTCAACTAAGAATACTTAGCCGTTAAGGCACTTCGCATAATAAAATTTACATATTTTTTCTCGTGTAATAATACCGGCTAACTTCAATTTCTATCTTCGAACTTCTGGCCTCTGATCATAAATCCCAGCCTCAGAAATGTTCGGAGACGATAAAAAATAGTTCCAATTAGGAGAATACTTGGTATTACTTTTTTCTTTCGGCTTAGCACTCCACAAATTCCATATTTTTTTCCCAAATACGAAGTACATAATTGCAATCAGTAAAAAGATAAGTATGGAATATATTATCAACGGCGACATCAAGGAGCTCGCAACGATAGGAATAGCTGATGGTAAAGATACCGTTTCTGCGCCATCTACAGAAATAATTTGAGATGAATCATTCATAGGCGGGGGTGGAGGGGGTATTTCATTATTTTCCTTCAATTCTAACTGGTCCCTGAAGGACCTATTTTCCTCCCTTAATTTTGATCACGCTGAATACAAAGCATCTATTTCCCGTCTAAATATGCTATTTGATGACTCTATCCTCTTTTCCATACATTCTATTGTATATTCTTTTGAATTACGGTCCTCCTTCACCTGTTCCAATTCAAGCCTGAGAGAATCAATCTCTTTAGGATCGGATAAGCTTATTTGGACTGGCTCCTCTATCACCTCTCCCATTACATCCAAATCATGATATGTACGCTCTAGATCTATGTCCTCCAACTTACCTTCCAATTCACGTATTTTAGTTTCAAGAGAAAGAATCTGGACCTTGTCAGCGGATGAAGCTTTCTGGGCCAAAGTCGCCTTTCTCTTCAGTGTTTTAATCTCTGATTTGAGCGATTGGATTTTAGCAGTATATTTGACTTCAAGCTAAAGTTGACTTTAGGAATGAGACTTCCGTTCAGAAATAAGTTGGGATCTAACCTTAGTACTGGACGCGTTTAACTGGCTAGCTTTATTTTCAAACTCCTTTTCTCGCTCATTGTACTTATCTACCAGCTTTTCGCTGAGATCATTAATTTCGGCTTTAGATTTAATAGCAGAATATAATTTTTCTTTAAGCTCTTGCTCATATGTACCACCAAGTCGTTGTCTGACCCCCTTAAAGGAATCATTATCTTTATTATTGATATTTTTCAAGATATATACATTGGTCATAGCCTTTTTTTTTCGGCTTAGTTGCTAATATAAAAAAAATGTGTCTAAAAATTTCTGGACTGAATCTACCGAAAATATATCGATAGTACTGAATACACCGAATATACCGAATATATCAGATGGATCGAATGTACCGAATGTACCGAAAATAAATCGATAATATCGAACAAAAATCAATTGAATATCGAAATTATATCAAAAATACACCGATAATTTTTCGAAAGATTTTTTTATATCTATCTGTAAAAAATACTTCGGTATCTGCGTTCAGATGCAACCTCCCTATCAGCTGAAGATATTCAGGATATTATTAAAGCTAAAAATTCAATGAAGCGAGCATCAGAAGCTATGGCTAACAAGTACAAAATATCATCACGACGGGTATATCAAATATAAAGAGGAGCCCATCCACAAATAGATCCTAAAGACATAAATCGATTTTCGGAAGAACCTGGTTCGCCTCAGCAAGCAGACCCTGTGGAATGTAATGTTATTTCTGGAAGTAAGGTAAAAAAGTTTGGAGGAAAAAAAACTAAGTCTAAATCCNACCTGTTATTCAGACACCACTAGCTTCAATAAGCTCAAAAAGTTTAAATATAAGCAATGAGGAATTAGAAGCATTTTGTGAGAAAGAAGATAAGAGAGGCGAAAAAATCACAGAAGAAATGAATAGGATACTAGCCACGTAAAAGATATTTTTCATTTAGTTCATTATAACGTAATAACAACTCCTCACATAATTCATTGAGATTTTCTTTAGACTTAAGAGTGTTATATAACATTCTTTCAAGATCCTCATAACTCACTTTTTTTTTAATGTCTCATTCGCGCTCAAGTCCACTTGGTCCGGAATCGAGGATTCATCACATTCGGGAGTAGTGGTTATACAATTCACCTCGAGCTTGTTCTTGACTTTGTGCATGGTGACTGGAATAATTAAATCCTTACCGTTATGAGAAATCTTTAATTCATCTTTGTCCCAGTCAATTGCACATTTATATTTCTTAAGAAGAGGATTCAAAAATATTAGCATTGGCTTAGAGTATTTTACAACTATAAAATCTTCATATATAGTAAATCAAGGAGCTAAGGTTATCGGTAAATTGTGGACGACTCCAATAGATTCAACAGGCACAGTAGCAATACCACTAAGATCATGTTTTATAGATTTGTCGATTCAATATCCTACGCGATCAACAATATCAGGTGTTATAATGGGAAGTTCGGCACAAGAGTCCAGTGCCATAGCTGGAATTTTAAGACGCTTAATCTTGCATTTTATAGATGCAATGCTTGTGGTGGGCTCCTTCTTTTTGACGAAATCTATCTCCATAGGTCCATCCAAAACATCCTCTTCATCTGAATCTTGAGCTAAGGCAGGTGCACACTTTTTAGCTTGCTGAATTATGTACGGAAGATAATTCTCAAATTCAATTTGAATGATTTTGCGAATAGTTTCTTCTAAAGACACACGCTTACCATGACTATTTTTATCTGATGAGGCATTATGGGTAGAAGACAAATTATTGTCTTGCTTTACCTTACGAAGATCATATTTATTAGACACCTTAGACTTTGAGGATTTATCAGAATACTCACGTTGCTCAGTGTAATTCACTTTTTTTTTCTATGACTTATGTAAATATTCATATCACGATTTCCGGAGTCTGAACCGGCTGATGAATTATCAGAGTTATAATCATTGTCCTCAGGTTTTGATATATCATCATCAGAAAAAATGGGATCAGACTGTTCATCTACTGTAGCCATATGAACTCGACTACTTCTGGATTTGGAATCTTTAGCGAATTTAGCCAATAAGGCTTCGATTTGTCCTAATCTTTTTTCCAATCCTCCAAAAGGTGAGGACTCTGAGCGTTGTCGCTATGGTGTTTTGGTATCTCTGGTATCTTTTCTAGCAAATTTAGCTAAGTGGGCTTCAATTCGTTCTAATCTTTTTTCCAATCCTCCATTATTATAGTCTGAGAATTCTGAACACTGATACTGAGCTGATTTGGTATCTATGGTATCTTCTCTTACGAGTTTGGTGAGTTTGGCTAAATTAATTTCGATTACTCCTAATCTTTTTTCCAATTCTTGATTAATATAATTATCAAAGATTGAAGCATTATTTGAATTAACTACATTTTCTGATAGCTGTAAACGTTGGGCAAGTTTAGAATGCACCTGCATTGATTCCGCTAACTATGCCTCCAAAGAAGCTATTTTGGAATTTAACTTTTCAAAATTGGCCGAGACTTCATTATTCTGGGAGTGTAGTACTTGAGCCGGTTGTGTTAGTTGTGCTTGTAAAGAGGCTATTTGGGAATTTAATTTTTCAATTTCAGCTGAAGAATTATTCTGATAATTTTGGCCTCCATTTAAATTGGAAGCACGCTCCAGCCACATGTCTTTTAGATTTGTAAAAAATGCATTAATACCAGCAGGAGCGATAGCCCGCATCTATGTATAAAGATTACCTGACAAGTAGTTCTTAAGAAATCCTATAGTTTGTGCATCACCATCCGCTACACCTAATAATAAAGGTCGGATTCTTTTTTCATAAGTATCTGGCGTGTCTGAGGGTAGAAATTTTTCTTGAGTTAATCTTTGAAGTACCGACTGCCGACTACCTACTGTTTCTCGTTGATAATGTGATCTCATCCAAGCACGTAAAGTAGCTGGAGAATTAATATTAGCATTTCCATTATATGGATCTTGGGCAGGAACTGGTAAATATTTTCCTCCCATCTGAGCTTTAAAAATATCACATTTGACAACATCATCGAAATCTCCAGCATTTGCATTTTCAAGAACAGTCATATGTCCTTGTGCAAATGATATTGATTGAATAAGTCTATCTAAATAATCATCAGGAGGTTCTTGGCCTATATAGGGCTTAGTTTTTGCAAGAACCGGTGCAATCATAGTTAATACTGGTAAATGTCTAGCATCTGCCATATTTCCTAATGGGTTATTCTGAAGCGCCAAAATTTGTCCCTGCAAATTTAAAATATTCTGGTTTCTTTGCCTAATCACTAGCTGGAAAACAAACTTTTCACGTAGCAATCCACCAATGCGGGTTTGTTTTCTTGCTATAATAACTAACATCCTATTTACCTGGTTTTGGGCATTGGTTTGCAACTGTCAGGTATTTTGCTGAAGACGGTTAGTATCTCGCTGATACAATAGCTGTTTAGCAAATTTTTCTCGCAATAATCCTTGGACACGCCTATTTTTATCCTGATATGAAAACATCCAGTGACGAGATTCTTGTCTCTCATTATTATAGGCCAGCATAGCCAAGTTCTGCTCTCCTTAAGCATTATCTTTTTCCCTTACAGTTCTTTCAGCCTGAGCTCGGGATTCATTTAATAACTGCTGGAATCGCAGATTTTCATTTCTCATATCCCTTAACTGCTGTATAAGAACCCATTCCTGCTCATTTGTTTCGTTTAATATGTTCTGATATTAATCCCGCTCAGTTGTGGCATTTTGCAAAGTAACCCAAATAGTATTTAACAAGCCCCTGATACCATCTAAAATATTAATAGGATTTGGCAGTAGTGTACCGGCACCTCTAATATGATTTTCAATCTGATCTAACCCTCTGTTAATATTTCCAATAAGATCAGCTGTTGCCATATCTAAAGCATTTATTGAGATTTTTTTATATATGAGAATCCGGATTCTTGCCTTAAGACGTTCTACCTTATTTTCAAGCTCTATGATTCGGCCATCTTAAATAGACCTAACCTCATCTTTGAATTTTTTATCTTGTTGTAAGATCCTAAACTGTTTTCGCAAATCAGATATTTCCGATTTAAGTTTCTATACCTCTTTTTCATGGGATATGATAGTATTATCCTGTAATGAGATAGTTTGATAACATTGCTCTAGCTCCTTCACAAGAGAACAAAATTTTTTCTCATTACTTTTATTATTGGAAATTTCATCCTGAAGCTCACTACGAAGCTCCTGGTTTGTATCTAAGAGTTGTGAATATGCTGGATCGAATGTTGACATGATATTATTCAGCCCTGATTTATAGAACCATCATATAATCGTGTTTAAGAATGAGTCAACTGCAGATTGTAATAAATCCCGATGAAGAGCTCCATATAGTCTGTAGACTTCTGTTTTATAATATACCTGGCTTTTATACCAATGCCAAAAACCTATATAATGCATACCAGAAAGAAGGATATTCTTTTCGATTGTGAGATATTGCAAAGTGGTTAGTGTATCAATATATCCATCAAATTTATCGACAACCACTACCATGCAAAGCTGAAGCAAGTTTTTCAAAGATTAAGATTCCAAACAAGGTTCAGCAGTGTGACATTCTGCTCCACACTCACGATGATCAGGATGGTAGAAGGATATTCGTTTATACTTTTCTAATCATAGATGTGGCAACACGTTTTAAGGACGCACGCTCAATAATATCGAGAAATAGTTTAGAAATCTGGAATGCGATAAAAGAAGTATTTGAGGATCTTTCTAATCCTCTCACATGGCCAACATTATTAATGACTGATGGTGATGCTTCGTTTCGGAGTGCATTCTTTTGAGAAATGCAACAATACAATGTCCCAATACGTGTTGTCGACCTTTATAGTTTTGAGAGCTTGGCTTTGATTAAAGCGTTTAAGAAAAGAATAGCAGAATTAATATATAAAGTCCAATATGCTATAGAGGGACGATTAACTGACGGAGAGCAATCAAGACTATGGAAAAAAATTCTTAAGAAGTATATTGATTATTTGAATAACAGTAAGACACACCTTATTGGGATGTCTCCAGCTCATGCTATGACTTTGGAAGAAGTTAAATCAAAACCTTCTAGGAAAGCTAAGCGCACAATTGGAAAAGATGAGGAGATAAAGTTACAAAAGGGTACAGCGGTTAGATATTTGTTAAAACCAGGTGAATTGGAAGGAGACCATAGGCGTAGAGCAACTGATCCATACTGGAGCTTGCGTGTCTATAAGATAAAAAGAGTTGTTATTAGGAAGAACCCGCCACAGCCAATCTTATACTATCTTGAAAATGGACCTATTGAATCTACTGCTCATTTGATGGGACGAAATCCCAAAAGACCTTTCAAATTTGAGGAACTTCAAGTAATCGAGGAACCTGATAAAATCAAATATCCACCAGATGAATTTATGTGGAAATATTATCCTACTGAATTCGTTCACTATGTTCAAGTTGCTAATGATAAATTGACTAAAGCCGATCAATATGCTAAGAAGCGTGGTGGCCATTGTCTGGAAAAGACCGGGCGAATAAATGGACATAATGTATACCTCTGGTCCTGTGAAAATGGTGTGCATCAATGGGAGTATCTATTAAAGTATATCATGAAAAAATTTGAGTGGTGTCCTCTATGCCACCATACTACTGAAAGAAATTGCCGATACATTTTTAAGGATTTGCTAGGCAAGAAATTCCCATCCTGCAGACCATCATTTTTGAATGGAATGCAATTAGATGGTTATAATGAAGAATTAAAATTGGCTTTTGAATATCATGGATCCCAACACTATAGTCTTAATTCAATGTTTCATAAGAGAGGCCAGATAGATTTAGATGAACAAAAATCCTGAAGCGAGACATATGTAAGCAAGAAGGTATATGTCTTATCTCGGTGCCCTACACATGTGACCTTTTTCCCTACATTAGGTATATGCTAATCAAAAAGGGATATTTGGATGATGCAAGTGGGTAACCCAATCTATTGGGCAAAGCATTTATTGCCAGAACTTGAGAAATTGTTACATTATTTTTCGATATAATAATTAGTTGGATCAAATCATGAAATACGTAATATTCGCAGCGGACGAAGTCAAGCCCTCGAAAAAATATCAGGGTGATCTTCATGCACCGGCATGGCCTTTTCGAATTATAGTTGCAGGGGCTAGCAATTCGGGTAAAACGAATATGATTCTAAACCTGCTGGTGATGAACAAATTTTACTATATGTTTAGGAAAAAAAAGAGTTCTAAAATAGGTGAGCGCAATGTTAAATGCAATGACGTGATACTTTGTGGCCACCATCTTAACGAGCCTAAATATAGAATTGTTCGAAACTTTTATAAATNAACCCGCCACAGCCAATCTTATACTATCTTGAAAATGGACCTATTGAATCTACTGCTCATTTGATGGGACGAAATCCCAAAAGACCTTTCAAATTTGAGGAACTTCAAGTAATCGAGGAACCTGATAAAATCAAATATCCACCAGATGAATTTATGTGGAAATATTATCCTACTGAATTCGTTCACTATGTTCAAGTTGCTAATGATAAATTGACTAAAGCCGATCAATATGCTAAGAAGCGTGGTGGCCATTGTCTGGAAAAGACCGGGCGAATAAATGGACATAATGTATACCTCTGGTCCTGTGAAAATGGTGTGCATCAATGGGAGTATCTATTAAAGTATATCATGAAAAAATTTGAGTGGTGTCCTCTATGCCACCATACTACTGAAAGAAATTGCCGATACATTTTTAAGGATTTGCTAGGCAAGAAATTCCCATCCTGCAGACCATCATTTTTGAATGGAATGCAATTAGATGGTTATAATGAAGAATTAAAATTGGCTTTTGAATATCATGGATCCCAACACTATAGTCTTAATTCAATGTTTCATAAGAGAGGCCAGATAGATTTAGATGAACAAAAATCCCGAGATCAAAAAAAGAGAGACATATGTAAGCAAGAAGGTATATGTCTTATCTCGGTGCCCTACACATGTGACCTTTTTCCCTACATTAGGTATACGCTAATCGAAAAGGGATATTTGGATGATACAAGTGGATAAACCAATCTATTGGGCAGGGCATTTATTGCCGGAACTTGAGAAATTGTTACATTATTTTTTGATATAATAATTAGTTAGATCAAATCATGAAATACGTAATATTCGCAGTGGACGAATTCAAGCCCTCGAAAAAATATCAGGGTGATCCTCATGCACCGGTATGGCCTTTTCGAATTATAGTTGCAGGGGCTAGCAATTCGGGTAAAACGAATATGATTCTAAACCTGCTGGTGATGAACAAATTTTACTATATGTTTAAGAAAAAAAAGAGTTCTAAAATAGGTGAGCGCAATGTTAAATGCGATGACGTGATACTTTGTGGCCACCATCTTAACGAGCCTAAATATAGAATTGTTCGAAACTTTTATAAATATCTTGCGCAAGATAAATCCAAGCCATACTATTAAGATATTACATTCTCTACACTCACTCCTGATAAAATTCCAGATCCAAAAAAGTTCAATGTTAAAAGAAGTAAACTAACGATATTTGAGGATGTCTGCTCAGACCCTCCAGCTATACAGAAAAAAATTATTCCATATTTTAGTAGAGGTCACCACGAGAATATTTCTTCTATTTATGTCTCACAAAAATTTCACAGGATTTCTACGGATATTCGTGAAAATGCAACGCATATTGTACTCTTCAGTAGTGGAGGTTCAACCCGAAAACTTGCTAACATTATAAGTCCTTATACAGATGCTGATCCGCACAAAGCTTCAAAGGTCATCGATGGTTATTTGAAATAAAAGGAATTTGTGGTCATCGATATAAATAAACCGAGATCTGAATCCTTTTCACTTTGATGGGACACTCCGCTCAATTTGGAAAAGGAAATCGAATCGTTGGGCAATACTTCCAACTAGCTGTGCCGACAACCAATTACCTGATAATCATTTACCTGCCAAATCCCGAAATGTGTATTTTTTCTGAACCTCTAGGTCATATTCAGATTCTCTATGTCGTTTCGCCCATAAATCTCTTTCACAATTGCTGGAATACGTTTCCGGTTCTGTAGTTACATCACTGTACTTCGTGTAAGAAAGAATCTGATCAACAAGAGCGATAATTTTTCTATCCTTGGCAGAGATAACATCCTCCAAATGCCGACATTTATTCTCTAATAGGTCAATAGACTTTTCAGCCAATGCAAGAGCTTTTTTCGTATCAGGGATTATACTCTTGAAATAAGCTACCGAATTTGATAATTTGGCGACTTTCTCACCACTTTCCTCTAAAGACTTGGTCATAGCTACCTCACGAGACTTATACTGTTCTTGCAAATCGAGAAGCTCTTCAATCTTTTTTTCCAATACCTGCTTTGATATACACAACTCCTCATTTTCTTGCCTTAACGAAGTTTCACAGTCGCTAGTAATAGGCTTCATCTTCTGACACTTTTTTTGCTTAATATAATTTCCAACCGCCTTATTTAACAAATCTTCCACTTCGGGATGGATACTACTTGCCTGTTCTATCGATAATGGATGTTTTTGTGAAGTAAGACGTTGCCATGTATCTATTTTGATGGAACGAAAAAGCTGGTTAAGTTGCTTTGAGTAATATACGTGAAAAGATGGCGTTAGTATACCGGTCATTTCTTATAGATAATAAAAAATTTTGAGAATTTTATAGATTCAGAAATTTGCCAAGAAAATTTTCTGGGACATAATGATGTTTCTCGAGGAAAATGCTAAGAATTTTTTTATTATCTAATACACTGCTTTATTAATAATATAACTTAATAAAAATTACATGTATGAAATCTCTATTCTATGAATTTTTGGGGGTCGTAACTGTTACTACCATTTCACTAGAACTATGCTCACTATCCCCAGAGTCAGAACTATATAATGTTTTGTGAATCGTACATGTGACGGCCGTTCTCAGAGTCATCAACGCATGTATAAGCGGGTATACGGCATTTGGGGAAGTCATATGCAACGGAATTGTTGCCTCCTCTATTAAACAGTACTTGTAAATTCCTGATTCTTTTCACATAGCATAAAGTTCTATAACATCGCCTAGAAATGGATCGAGCGGAATATGAATGATTTATGAATATATAAAAAAATAGAAGTAAATTATTCGTACCTGCGATGTTAATAGTGAATATGGTCAGATTCTGCCTCCTCGATAGTTGGTTAAATATCTTTTTAAGGTTTTTTATATTCCTCGTGGTGTCGATAGAATCCTTGGAAAAACGTATTAATTTTTTGTGATCACGATCCCGCTTATCTTGACTGGAATTAGGTCTACCGATCTCAAGATAAACAATTTCAAGTTCAGCATTTTTCTGAACTGGGCTACCATCATATAATCGGCTCTTCAGGCAATTTTACGAGAACCTTTTCGTATGGCACTAGCTGAACTCCCTTCTTCACTCCTTAATTTAGAAAACATTAATTATAGCAGATATGATAGTGGAGTAATGAAACTTTTTGAGCTAAGCCTACCATATATCCCATGCTATCGGGTTTCCTGGTAAATCGCTCATCATTATATTTAGTAATGGCGCAAGCACCTCACAAACATATGATCCTTCATTTATCAATTTCCCTTCTTTATATATGCATCATATTTTGGCGATTTCCAAACCTTGAGCCTATAATTATTTATTGGTTAATGAGCAAAGTAAAAAATTATATAAACAGATTTCGGCAATAATTGCTCGCCAGTGACTTACATAGATTCTAATATCCGTTTTGTTAAATCTTGTAATTCTTCGGGCTTATCCAACCATTCTCCATAATTAATATTACCCAAAAGTTCGTCTATGTTAATTTTCAATTCTTCGTTTTGGATAAATTCTTTATAAGCTTCCATTATATCATGATTCTGTTCTAACTTATATTTTTGAAATGGTTCCTTAAAAATATCAGAAACTGATCCAGGCATATTTGTAAAGGGTTCTGACTTGATATCTAGAACACCTGAACAAATCGGATGATCGAATCCAAGATTCTTCACATTTATTTCCTCAAGTTCTGTTTCTATTCTCTCCCACATGGTTTTCTCATAACTAGCGCTCTCAGTCATGCATCGTCCAATGTCACGCTTCAAAGATCGTAAATTTGTATTTGCATCTTCATACCAGGCTTTTGTATCGATTACTAACGCTTCCATTTCTGAGAGTGAACATAGATCTTTGAATGCAGTTGCGACCTAAAATGTATTTAAAATTAGTCTCCAAGGCTCGTTTGACAAATAATTTATTTTTACATCACGGGATCAGATTAGGTTTTCATTTTCATAAAGTCTCAAATGCCGGCAAAATGTTTGGTATGTAGCTATATGGTATAAAACTAGTTACTACTGTGTGGGAAGTAATAATATTACAACAGACATCAGCCTCTTCGCTAGTGATAATACCATACTAGAAAACCTAAAAAAAACATGTCATCATATCCATATATTCATTATGAAAATAGTTTATCACATTACCCGTTTCGCCAGTTTTTTTCCAGTGCCGAAATTTTGAAGCTTCTTTTTTCGTTCAATGTTCTCTGAGGGGACTTGTTCTAAAACTCTTTTCAGAACATTTTCAAAGTTCTCTACCTCCTTTTCAAGAACACCTGTCCATCCACCTTGCTCCACTCATACGAACAATGCTGTGGAAATCCTGACGATACTGAGAGGCTCTCTCGTTAAAAGGAATTCTTCCATATTTTAATATAGTGAAAGTTAAATATTAGTGAAAAGCTTGCTAGGCGAAGTAAAAAATAATGTACAGTAAATTTTAATACCTTTTCGTCATACTGCCTTTTTAAATGTCTCGCATTCCCACATTCTCATTTCTTTGAGCACGAGTTCTGTGTTTGGGAAGAGATAGGAGAAATATGCAAGGCACTTTACGCCAAAATTTTGTGTTCGAGAATAAGGGCATGTGGAATGTGCATTGAAGATCTAGATATTTTCAAAGGGTATTGGGGATAATGCATATACGAAGTTTTTTTTCCGCCCGACCGCTTAATACTAAGATCCAGTAACATATGTTCAGCTCAGAATATAATAGAAATAGTCCGTCCTTCCAGAGCAAATATTCATATCAGTAATGCTATTCCGTGAGAAAAAATTCGAAATATTTTTTGGGGGGATCGATTTATGTGTGAAATTATTTTGTCATACAAGCATAGTTTCACAGATGATTTGTGGAGTATCATCTATTACATCATATATACTTAACGAGGATCGAAAACATGCTAATTTATGTCGCACACTGTTCTCCTACATGAATTGTGGCGGAGCAAAGTAAAAATAAATCGATTTATTGTATTATTATAATAATTATGCTAAATACTGAATACATGGTATACTGTATTATTTTGATAAATAATTTATGGCTCGAAAAACTCGTTGCACATATTCAACATTATTGTTAATATCTGAGAAATCTATAATAGTTAAGTCTCCATCGATAGTACTAATATAGGAAGATTTGAACATGTCAATTTCTAGCGAATTACATGGATATAGTTTACCTTCCTTTTTACATTTATATCACGCATATTCTGAAATTTTAACAAAGTTTGTAACAATATTGTTATAATAGTCTTTAGTAGTACGGTAATGTCCAGGATTTGCTAGATATTTTAGCATAATAGTTCAATCACTATAACCAACGAATCTATAATCTTGCTGATACGATTTTATAAAAGTAACTATATATGCTACAGTAGTTAGTCGAACATATAACTGGTCTTTCTTATTTTCTGCCCAATTATGTGGAGTATAATGACAATACAAATCACGCAATCTAGGTTCATTCTGATGATGTGCAGGTACATCTCTGGCTAGAATTCTTCGACCAAAATAGTTTACATATTGATCATCAGGAATTCTTATATCACGAGGAGTTATACCTAAATATTTCTTCTCGTCAGGAGTATTATCATTTCTCACTATATTTCAAACTCGTTTTACCCAAGTTTCAGGTCTCAACTTAAAAGTTCTCCAAGCCCGTTGGATAACTTTTGCACTATTAATTAAACAATTGACATACCTTTTCCTATTTTCAAATTCATATGCATAACTAAATTTAGCCCAGTATTTACTGAATATAAAACCAAATATTTGATAAATCTTTTCAATCTCGTCATCACTTAGTTCTGATGATACTCCTTTTTTCACATTTTTCTGTATAGGATTAGAATATGCAATATGCCTTTTTGCTGTTTTAGCAATACATTTCTTCAGATGATCATTACCACATTCAATGGTATTTTCACGAATAATTACTAAGGAGTCACATACAGTGCAATAAATATGAAATGAGCATCTCCCAGTTTTAAATTTCCCATCTTTATATGATCTTTCAATCATTTGAATAAATCCATTCTTCGAAAAGTATTTTGGGTTATATTCGAGAAGTTTCTTAAATGGATAATGAACACAAGAACACCACATTTCTGGTGTTTCACCACTATACTTATATTGCAGATTGTTCAATGCCTGCACTACTGCAGGATTCAAACCATTATGGTTGTTAGATTTAGCCATTTTACAGATATAGGGAGTTTATAGCGAATTTGATGATTTATAGCGGTTTTAAAGACTTATAGCTATAGCAAGTATATTATAATAAAATATCATATTCATTTTTATTCGATTGTTCAGGTGAAAACAGATTCATATTTTTTTTGATTGCTCAAAGAACTTTGGGTGAAATAAAAAATAAAGGCCGAGACATGGCTCATCCCATTATAACGATGTTTTATTATTTCTGAAATAAAAAATGTTGCCCAAGCAACTGATACATAAAGTTGTGAATATATCGCTGTTACATTAATGCAAATAAAAAAATATTAATTATCTGTGGCTAGTACAGTCCTGATTTTGCTACAATCCATTCACTCGAACTAGATCTAATATCAGCAATAACAATTGCATGATCTTCAACTGCCACAGGTTGCTTTTCAGGAATAGTTGCAATTTGTGTGTCACTCTCGTTCAAAGCGAAAAGTTGAGGCCTAATAGATTCCGGATCAGCTAATACAAAGTATAACCTGTCTTTATTATATAACCCGTCTCCATTATATTGGACAGCAAGCCCTCTTCTAACATTAGTAATAGTATATCCGCCGGTGCCTTTTTCTTTTTTAACATACCATCGCTGATCTTGATTTACATCATCAAGATTGCAGAGACCAATTCGATCAGCAAATACTGTCCAATAATAATATGGAGCTTCCTTCTGTTGAATGGTATAGGTTCCATCTTGAACAGCATCTATAGTACCACTAAAAGAACTATTAAAAAAGTAAGTATTAATAATAAATAATTAGCAAGAGAAAAATTTTACTTACGACATTTCGTTGTAATACAAAGTTTTTTTGATTTAACGAGGTTTAGGAGGCCTCTTTAAATAATGATGAAGCCATCTTGATTTGTGTACCAAGTTGGTATGTGCAATGTTGACAATTCATGTATCACACATACCAAGACTTGGCATGAGAAATTTTATGTTTTAATCGCCCCAAAATTTGATGTTCAGATAATTTTTTTCATTGTATTCCTGCATATCAGTAAAGGCTTCAATGGAGACAAAAACAATTTGCACATGATAAAATTCGCTTAATATACTTAATCAGTGCCAAATCAGTTTGTGCATGAGAAAATCATATTTACACGGAACTTGGAAATGGGACTTAGAATGAAATGTTCAAGGTATACATCGTGTTTTTATGCGATCACAGATGACAATCATTTTGCATTGGCGATTATATGATAAGATTTTTATTTTTCCGGAAATGTGTATGCGTTATGGATTGCACAAATGTATCAACTGACCATCGCCTTTGCAATTCACACATTTTAAAAAATCAAAGTAAAGCTATTTATTATATTTTTCGTAAAGTAATACATGAGAAATAGGCCGGCTAAGAAAAAAATGAAAGTAAAAATGATAGAGTAGTAGGATGTTTCAAGGGAGGAAAGGCATAAAAGAACATGCCTGCTTGATAAGCCTGCTGAGCCTTAATCCATGTAGTGGGCAGTTCCTTTACCTGAATGTAAATGTGATTACATATTAATAAAAGATACAGTATTGTGATTATCTCAAATGGAAGTATAAAACGGGAATCATTTTAATTCTTCGATTGTTTACACGCATAATGACGCTATTATGTATTTCCCTCAAATGAAAGTATAAATCGGGAATCATTTAGTTTACTATCATGAGAGTTAATAATCATCTGAATAACACATGTATTGATTTATATTTACATTTGTAAAACGCACACATTTTAAAAATCAATCAAAACATTCTTTATTGCAAAGTAATACATGAGAAAGGGCCAGCCTGCTATGTAAAAATGAAAGTAAAAAATAATAGAGTAGCAGGTTGTTTCAAGGGAGGAATTTTGCCGAGCCCCAACCCATATAATGGCAGTTCCTTCCCCGCTACTCTGCATTATTATTAAAACTAGCTACCCATGTGTTTATCTGATTAACAGTACCAACTGTATTGCGACCAACACCACTATAAAAATTTTTCACTGTTGAGATTTTAATACTCCCTCCAAGACTACGAATATCTACCGCTATCGAGTAACACATCTCATCAAAAGTATAATTCCTCACCTTCATAAGTCGATCAAAGTGTTGTTTAAAGCGAATTTTAATGTCTCCAGTAATATCAAAAATTCCAGATAAATTGGAACTTCCAGAAGAAGAGCTTGGAGACAAATTAGTTGAAGAGTCTCGCGAATTAGTTTCAGATTCATTGGTCGAATTAACTTCAGATTCATTGAACACACTTTGTTGGTCAAAATCGGATCTTTGAACTACTGCGTAATGTTGATTTGTTTCGTTTTGGAGATTTTCGATAACAACATTAATTCTGCTAAATTCATTATGGCAGGCTTCTTCGATATTATTAACTTTCGTAGTTATGTTATTGACCATTAAAAAAATTTTCTGTGCCTCCCTAGTGAAGTCATCATCACATGCCTTATTTTTTTCAGCTTCCGCGGTAAGTTTACTATTAAGTTCAGTGTTAATTTTGCTGAACCCCGCATTAACTTCTTCATTAAGTTTATTATTAAAATCATTATTGATCCTGCCGAGTTTCGCAGTGAAAGTAGAATTAATATCGGAAATACATGTGTCAAATTTATCATTAAGTTCAGTAAAGATCTGGTCATAAAGTGACCTCTTTCTGATTTCCGGTATATTATTTAGTATACCAAGATCGATGAGAATTTTGATGACATGTGCGGAAAGTTCATCGGAAATTTTTTGTTTGAGATTTGACCACATGGTAGCGATCCCCATGATTAACACTGGACCAATGAACAAAAAAACAGCGGTTAAGGTCAAAAAAGGCATGACTCCCGAAGAGTTGAGCAATGATAAACTGGACATGATTAGGCGTAGTAATTTTATTAAGAGATTTTATTGGTGGATCAAGTTTTTTAGATATACTTTTTTTAATATGCAATCTCTTGCGTAAATGCGCTGGAAAAAAGGTTTATTTTATACTGTATACCTACTACGCGCGAAAAGAGAATTTAACCCGATTTAAATATTAGATCAAATAAAAAATTACGTTGCTTCATTATGTGTACTTGTCATTATTACATTTTTTCATAATTATATTTTTTCCACCTAAAGCAATAAAATGACAGCCTGGATCCCGTCCAATAATAACAAATGTCTCTCCCTTGAATTGTAATAATAGCGCTTAAAAAAATCCGAAGAAATCCGATTGATGCCTAGTTGGTAACTGATTTTTTCAATTTGATACCAATCGGGCTGCCCGATTGATAGTTGATTTCTGCCAAAATCCAACAACAACCGGCTATCATCAGGGCTGCCCGATTGGTGACAAATTGAGAGTCAATTGATGGCAGAACGATGGTCAATTAATGGTCAATTGATAACCGATTGATGACTTATTGGATTTGCTTAATCCGACAGCAATCGGGCAGTATCTGATTAATGACCGATTGGTAGCGTATTAATGACCGATTGATAATGTATTGATGACTGATTAATAGCTGATTTGTAATAGCCGATTGGTAAAATCAGTTTTATAAAATGTTTATGATGCACCTATTTTATTTATTATATATTTATTTACGCATTATTAATTACAAATTATTAAAAAAAATGGTTTTAATTCCAGCCTACATGCGCTTTATTAATTACAATTTACAATATATTCAAAAATTTGATTGTACAATCATAGTTGTAAATATAATTTATTTCAAATGGGAACTTATATCAATGTATACAATCATAATAAAAGTAATATGATTAAGCGAAAATCGGTACGTTTTTGTTTCTGATTGTTCTGATTGCTAACAGGAACAAATTTAAAAATAAAGAATTAATAAATGTTATACATTAAACGAACAAACAAGTTATTAGAAATAAATGGTGATGAAATCTTGCTTACCAAACTCCTAACGAATGTCCGTCAGAAATCAAGTTTTCCAATTACTGAAAGTAGGAACAGCTTAAAGACCATCATGTTAATCATCGAATGAATGAAATTCGTCAAAATCGATAGATATACAAATTCGTTTCTAAAAATGAAATAAAATACGGTTCATTTCTGATTTTTTGAGAAATCTTGCGAATTAGAATATGAATAAGGGCGTACATTAATCGATCAATCAACATGAGCAACTATTTAATAAA